ATTCCACTCATTTGAAATGTCCAGAATAGGTAAATATATAGAGCCATAAATAGATGAGTGGTTGCTTAGGGTTGGGGGGTATAGAGGGAGATAGGACAGTGACAGCCAAAGAGTATGGGGTTTCTTTTTGAAGTGATGAAAATGTTCTAAAATTGCCTGTAGTGATGGTTGCACCTATCTCTGAATATACTAAGAACTATTGGCTTGTACTCTCTAAGTGGGTGAATCATATGGTATGCATACTCAATAGCTTTAAAAGTTCATGTACAGAATTCCATGCGAACATAAGTTTTCCATACTTTCTAACAGATGCCCAGAGTGCAATTGCTAGGTCATATGGTAGTTGTGTTGTTCGTGGTCTTAGGAGGAAATTGTTCAGTCTTTTACCAATAAGTATTAGGTTAGCTGGAGGGTTTTTCTAGATGTTCTTTATCAAGTTGAGGAAGTTCTCCTCTATTCCTATTCTTCTGAGAGTTTTTATTATATTTGGGTGTTTGATTTTGTGAAATGCCTTATCTGTATCAATTGATATGATCATGTGACTTTTCTTATTTAGCATGCTATTAGAAAGGATTACATTGATTGGTTTTCAAATATTAGACGTGTCTTAAATTCATGGAAAAAAACCCACTTGATCATGGTTTATAACCTTTTTAATATATTGTTGAATTCCATTTGCTATTATTTTGTTATGGACTTTTGTTACTTATTCATGACAGATGTTGGTCAGTTTTCTTTTCTTGTACTCTTTGGTTTTCATATCAAGGTAATACTATCTTATGAAATGAATTGAGAAGTGCTCCCTCTTCTTCTGGTTTTTGGAAGAGAGTATATAAAATTCATGTTAATTCTTCCTTGACCATTTAGTAGAATTATCCAGTGAAATAGTCTGGACCTTGAGATTTCTTTTGAGGGAGATTTTCAATTATGAATTAAATTTCCTTAATAGTTATAGAACTATTCAGATCGCATTTCAAGGAATTGGTCTATATCATCTAAGTTGTCCAATTCAAGTCTGGAGAAATGCTTGCTGTTTCGTATTTTATGAGCTGGTCAGTCAGCTGTGACTAGAAGAGATTCAGAAGAGGCTCAGGAAAAAAAATAAGGTTAATTATACTCACAGGTCCTAGAGACAGGAGGCATGGCCTGCTACGCAGGGCCACATAGGAAAGACACCAGGGTGGGCAGGAGCATTCAAGGTCTTTGACAGCCTAATTCTAGCTTTCATTTACAAAATTATTTTTTCTTTGATCCCATCAGGAGCCCTTTACATAAGCAAGGCTAGTTTCCCCACTGGTCCCTACAGATGCTGCATTTATTCTCCCTCTGAGCCTTTTACTCCTGTTACTCTTATCCTTGCTTTCCCCTTCCTTTCCAGGTATTATGATCCCATCCATCCTTCAGACTTGGATAATAAAGAATTATTTCTGCTCTGAGTTCTTAGAACATAATCTTGATCACTTCATCAAGCTCCTATTTATTAAGGAAGAAACCTGATCTTATGTACACATACACATATATTATGATACATCAGGACCAGGTAGGATTTATTTCAGGAATATAACATGGGTTAACATAAAAATCTAGTCAATGTAGTTCTCTATTAAATGTATGGAGAAAAACACTATGATCATTTCAATCAAAGAAGAAAGCTGACTATGACAAAATACTACTCCCATTTTTGATAAAAACTCACAGCACACTAGACATCTAAGGGAATGTCCTTATTCTGATAACAGATGTCCACAAACTATAGCTAACATCATATTAAATGGTGAAATACTGAATGTTATCATTTGTATTCGACATTGTACTGGCCTGTGCTAAACAGTGCTATAAGAAAAATTTTAAAAAGATATTACAATTACAAAAGAAAAATAAAATGGCCATTATTTTCAGATGACAATTGTGTATACAGAAAATTAAATAGAATCTACAAAAAAGCTATTAGAAAAAAGTGATTTTAGCAAGGTTACTGGATACAAGGTCAATATACAAAAATCAATTGTACTTCTATGTACTAGTAACAAGTAATTGGAAAATGAAGTTTACAAATTTACAACAGCACAGTGAGTGCACATCACGTCCTCTCATGCCTCACCACTGCACAAACTTTCTCCCTGTGAAAACCTTTCCATCAATTCCACACACCTGTTGAACTCCTACATTTCTTTCCAGTCTCTCTTCAGGCTTATCACCCTCTTAAAGCATTCTTTCTCCCCATTCCTGAGTAGTTATTAAACTTTAATTCAGAAGGAAATTCTTTTCTTAAAAAAACAAAAAGTAACACACACCTTAAACTGATAAAATTGATACAAGTGGCGCTTTCTTATTGAAACAAGAGTAGGGAGTGAACACAGACCCCCAAGTTCCTAAAAAATGGCCAAAGATTGAATGTCATTAATTTGATTAACATTTTTAAAGCAAAGATCCAAAAATTGCTACTGTAATCAGTTTCTTAAAAAATGAGATCTTTCTCCTGCTGTACAGAAAATAACATCCACAGGCATAAATTCCTTCCCCATCTGAATCAGACACACTTATTTGCATTCCCATCTTTCTGTAGGTTTTTCCCTCCAGCCTAAAGTTAAGGTTCATTCCTACACCTATGCTCATAATCCCTCATAACATCTCAGAAAGTTTGTTCCACTCAATGATCTCTTCTTTAATTCACCCTCAACGTGTGTACACATTATTGCCTCAATCATTAAAATATAAATGCTCCCTAAATAATTTTCTCCCCTCTAAATACAGCCATCCTTACTTCCCTTGCATTTACTCCTCTTGAAACAGTCTATAACAGCATACTAGTCCTCACTTTCCTATAATAATCTGACAGAAGTCTGACTTGTGTTCACCCTAATTCACTGACATTGCTCTTGCCCAGGTCTCCAATTACCAGGTCTCCTAGTTACCAATTCCACTTTATTCTTTCCCCGTTACTAACACTACTGCCTGTCTGAGGTTCACTTCTCCTTTGGGCTCAGTGACATCACTCTCCTGGCTTTTCTCCTGTCTGAAGTCCCATTCCTTTTCTTCTTAGTCCAGTTCTTTTTTTTCCACAATTGGTTATATATACATATTTTGCTGGGTTTGATCCTACCCCTTTCTCATTCTAATGAATCTCTCTGCTGGCCAACTTCAGGTACCATGGTTTTGACTACCAACTATTATTTTATTTACTCCTACTTCTAGTCTTCTGGCTCACATTTCCCTTTTAGACTTTAGGGCCAATTTTACATGCATAAAGTCAAAGTTGTTGACCCCCTGTATTGCCTACTTGATGCATGGCACTCCATCCATCCAGTTAACCAAGGTAGAAACCTGGGAGCCAATTATTCGATTGCAAAAACCACGCCGTATGTATTTTACACTAATATTTGTCACATATTCTTCATCCCACTGTCTGTTCTTGAGTTTAGAGCCTCATTCACTAACAGTTAAATGACTGTATGTCCATACTTCCAGGCTTCAGGCTCCTCAGCTGTCTGTAACCTCCTAAATTCATTCTCTACATTATTGCCAGGACAGTTTCCCTCACACCAAATCTGATTCCATAAATTTCAGAATAAAATTCAAATTCCTTAGAATGGGAAATAAGACCTGTGGTTATCTGGCCTCTGCCTTCTTCTCAAGTTTCAACATCTGTCATTCTCCTCATTAATTCTTAGAATTCTTATTATTCTTCCAAACTTGGGCTCTGGCAGCACTGTCCCTGGGTCTCCCCAGGATCCATTCCTTCTTTCGGCATCCTGTGCAGATCTCTACATTTACATTCTGCAACACAGTTATCATCATAATCTATTTCTCTGTGAAAACGACTTCAACATATGATAGTTTGCTTTACTCACTTGATATTCCCTTCAACCCCATGCTCTCACCCACTCAATTCATGACCTCTTGAAGATAGGGCTTCTTTCTTCTGTACAATTGACAGTGCCCAGAATAGTACCTGGTCCAAACCCGGGGTTAAATGAATATTTACTGTGTAAAACAGTTCTGAAAGTTTGGAATTATTTTCCTTCTTTTATTTTTCTTTGCAGTCTTAAGTTTAAAAACTAGAAAACCACAAGAGGGGAAAAGAGGCTTTTATTTCAAGAAATTACTTTCTTTCCAAGACTGCCACATGTGATAGGTTCTTTCAACTATTTCTTAGAATTTCTTTTGCAGCCAACTAAAAAAATATTAATAGCTTTAACCTTGATGTGAGTGCCTAAACAAACTGTATGTTTCCTACTTACCTCACCTGAATCTTACATGATATTCACAGCATAGCTAATACAATGATATAATAAGTATATCTTCTAGGCAACAAAGAAAAATTATTCTGAGAACAAACTTAGAAATTATGTAAAAAATTTGGAAGACTGTCTGGTGTAGTTTGGAAATAACTAGAAAAACGAGGAGGAAGAAAACAGATTTTATTTCTCTTTTTTAATGAAATCCATGCAGAAAGTTTGACAACAGGTTAGGAAAAGGCAAATTCCAGAGACTAAGAGGTAGTTTACAGTTTGTTTTTATCTTTTATTTGGTCCTTTGTTCTAAAAATGCATATATTTTAAGATCAATTCTTTTGTTTGCTATTTAAATGTTATAATAAATATGCTACTAACTTATACAGTTGGTCTTTCTAAGGAGAAATCCAGCACCCCTGTACTCAGTTTTCTCACATTTACATACTCCATATAGCATACAGTGCTATATACATAGAAAAAAACCCATCTTTTATCTTACAAATGGCCAGAAGCAATACTTGCATTGTGAATTATTTGTCTCAAGATATTTTAAAAAGCGACTGAGAGGTATGAAAGTATTCCCCGTATTTATTATATACTCAAGGTTTATCCTTCGGTTTTAATACTTGGTAAGGACTAAACTAAAATTGAAAGTGTTCTCACATTCATTATTTTATTAAATCAATCTCAGGTACGTATTCTCTGATAAGCTTTGGTCCAAGGCTCTCACACATGAAAATCTACTTTCTAGGGGTTCTCTTCAACATGAATTTTATAATGATTGGTAAGGGACGACCTCTGGCTGAAGAGTTTCCCACACGCATTACATTCATAGGGTTTCTCTCCAGTATGAATTCTCTGATGGGCAATAAGTGATGAGCTTTGTCTAAAAGTTTTCCCACACGTATGACATTTAAAGGGTTTTTCTCCTGTATGAATTCTTTGATGTTGAATAAGAGCTGCACTTTGGCCAAAAGATATCCCACATTCCTCACATCGATATGGTTTCTCTCCAGTATGAATTCTCTGATGATTACTAAGGGAGGAGTTACACCTGAATGTCTTCCCACACTCATTACATTTATACGGTCTTTCTCCGGTATGCATTCTCTGATGTTGAATGAGAGCTGAACTCTGTCTGAAGGCTTTCCCACACACTTTACATTTACACGGTTTCTCTCCAGTATGAATCCTCTCATGAATAATAAGTGTTGAGTGGGAACTTAAGGCTTTACCACATTCATTACAATTATATAATTTCTCTCCAGTATGAATTATTTGATGTCTATTAAGACGTGAAACAGAAGTGAAGCCTTTCCCACACTGATTACATCTGTACGGCTTTTCTCCAGTGTGAATTCTTTCATGTTGAATGAGAGAGGCACTCTGACTGAAGGCTCTCCCACATTCACTACATTTAAAAGGTTTCTCTCCAGTGTGAATTCTCTGATGATAACGAAGGGATGAGCTCGACTTAAAGGTGTTGCCACATTCGTTACATAAATAGGACTTCTTTCTGGAATGATGTCTCTGACACCCAGAAAGGGACGTGCTGCAACTAGATGCTTTCCTACCTGGATTATACTTATGGGGATTTTCTCGAGCATGGATTTTTTGATGTATAAAAAGGCCAGACCTTCTGCCGAAGGATTTGCCACATTCTTTACATCGATAGGATTTTTCCACAGTATGTGTTCTTAGGTGTTTACAAAGGGATGCACTATGGCTGAAGGCTTTCCCACACTGTTTACATATATAGGGCTTCTCTCCAGTATGAGTTCTTTGATGTTGAATAAGAGCTGAACTTTGGCTAAAGGCTTTCAAACATTCTTTACATTTAAATAATTTCTCTCCAGTATGGTTTTTCTGATGTTTACGAAGGGATGAATTGTGAATGAAGGCTTTTTCACATATATTACATTTATAGCGCTTCTCGGCTGTTTTGATTTTTGGTTGGTTAAGTAAATTTGAATTCTGCTTGAAGCTACTTCTTTGTATTTCATATTTTGATGGTATTTTTTCTTTAGCAACCCTCTGCTGCTTAACAAAGACTGATTTCAGGCTAAAATTTTGGCCAAATTCAATAAGGCTTCTTTCTACAGTGAGGATTTTCTTATGAGTCATTGAAATTATTTGTAAACTTTCATTTCTGTCCTGTTTCTTTAATCTGTCTTCATATATGCAGGGTTTTTCTGATATGAAGTTCCAGGGCTCATCCTTTTTGAGTCTTTTCCTTAGAAGTCCCTGAAATGAGGAGTCTTGAGTTTGAGTTGACTTTGTGGTTCTAGGACTGCTCTTACACCCTGAAAAAAGCAAAAACAAAGAAAATGCCAATGATTCATGTTATTGGCTGAAACTAAATGTGTAGACAGAATATTAATGATACCTAAATAAGGGCTTGGTATCTGATTAAAAGATAATAGCAAGAGAAAATACGAGAAGTTACACTGTATAAAAACAATAATGAGTGAGGGCTGAAGTAGTAGGGTGAATAAAAGAATAAAGGAAGCATTTACAGAAGGTAAAAGTGTAAGAGTAACCAGGAAAATGGAGACTAGAGAGAAGGGATTAGAGGAGAAATGTGAATTGGAATGCTGTCTGGTACCCAAAGCCTATGACAGACTCGTAAATTATCTCCATGATATGATGTCTTCCTTCCTTTTCCTACATGCCAAACTTCTCTGTAGGCTTCAGATTCACTTCAAATGTTAGCTCCTCTGTGCATCCTTTCTTAACTCTGAGCTCCAACAATCCAGTCCCCTCATTATACCACTTACTACAGTATATCATATTGTATGTAAATCCAGAGCCTAAGAGACCTGTGAGACACCATCAAATGGACCAAAATATGCATGTGGAAGTCCTAGAAAGAGAAGAGAGAGAAACGGGCAGAGAGATCACTTGAAGACATAATGGCTGAAAACTTTCCAAATTTGATGCAAGTATGAATCTATAAATCATGAAGCTTAATAAACTCCAAATGGAATAAATTCAAAGAGACTCACACTGAGACACACTTTCATCAAACTGTCCAAACCCAAAGCTAAAGAGAGTACACTGAAAGCAGCAAGAGAGAAGACTTGCTGTATAAAGGATCTTAAACAATATCATCAGATTTCTCATCAGAAACTTTGGAGGCCAGAAAGTAGTGGGTTGATATATTCAAAGTACTGAAAGAAAAAAAAAACTGTCAACAAAGAATTCTCTAAGTGACAAAACTCTCCTTCAAAATGAGGAAGAGGGGGCCAGCCCGGTGGTGTAGTGGTTAAGTTCATGCACTCCACTTCAGTGGCCTGGGGTTCATGGATTCAGATCCTGGGTACGGACCTACACACCACTCGTCAAGCTATGCTGTGGCTGTGTCCCACATACAAAATAGAGGAAGATTGGCACAGATGTTAGCTCAGGGCCAATCTTCCTCACCAAAAAAAGAAAGCAAAAGGAAGAAATTAAGATATCCCCAGGTAAACAAAGCTAAGGGATTTTGTCTCTAGCAGACCTGCCCTACAAGAATTGTTAAACAGAGCCCTTGAAGTTGTAATGAAAGGATGCTAGACAATAACCTGAGGCCATGACAAAATAAAGATCTCTGGTAAAGGTAAATGCATGGTCAATATAAAAATTAATACTATTATAATTTTGCTTTGTAACTCCACTTTTTATTTTCTATATGATTTAAGAGATAAATGCATTAAAAATGCAGAAAATCAGGGACAAAAAGATAAAAGGCATATAGAAAACCAACAGCAAAACAGCAGGAATTCCTCCATATCAGTAATTACTTTAAATATAAATAGATCAACTCTCCAATTAAAATACAGATATTGGCAGAATGGAAAGAAACAAACGTAATCCAACTATATGCTACTTATTAGAATACTCACTTTAGATCCAAAGACACAAACTAGCTGAAAGTGAGAGGATGGAAAGATACTTCATATAAACAGAAGTACCAACAGAGAGCTGCAGCACTACACTAGTACCAGACAAAACAGACTTAAGAACAAAAAAAGTCAGAAGAGACAAAGAAGGGCGTTATATACTAATAAAAGGTTCAATTCAGCAAGAAAATAATACGAGTGAAACATTTACATGCCTAGTAAGACATCCTCAAAATATATGAAGCAAAAATTAATGAAACTGAAGGGAGAAATAATTTTACAATAATAGAGACTTCAATACCCCACGTTCAATAAAGGATAGAACAACTTGACAGAAGGGAAGAAAGGAAATCAAGGCCTTGAACAACAAATAAAGCAATTGATCTAATAGATACACACAGAACATGCTACCTGTCAAAAACAGAATACACGTCTTCACATGGGACATCCTCCAGAATAGACCACGTGTCACACACAAAACAAGTCTCAACAGATTTAAAAATACAGGCATCATAGAGGCATTCAACCTCAATGGAATGCAATTAGAAATCACTACAAGTAAAACTGGAAAATTCACAAACATGCAGAAATTGAACAATACACTCTTAAACAACCAATGTGTCAACAAAGAAATCACAAGGGAAATTAGAAAACACTACAGACAAATGAAAACAAAAACACAACTTATTAAAACTTATGGGGTGCAGTAAAAGCAGTGCTGGGAGGAAAATTTATAGATGTAATAAATCTAACTTTACAACTTAATGAACTAGAAAAAGAACAAACTAAACTCAAAGCTAGCAAATGGAAGGAAATAATAAAGGTAAGAGCTCAGATAAAACAGAGAACAGAAAAATAGAATCAACAAAATCAAAACTGGTTCTTTGAAAATAGCTACAAAATTGAGAAAGAAAACTTTAGTGAGACTAAGAGTCAAAGTGAGAAGACCTAAATTACTAAAATAAGAAATGCAAGTGGCAACGTTACTATGGATTCTACAGTCATTAAAAAGATTACAAGAAAGAACTATGGGCAACTGTATGACAACAAACTGGACAGCCTAGAAGATATGGACAAATTCCTAGGAACACAAAACTTACCAGACTGAATATGAAGAAAGAGAAAATCTAAATAGACACATAACTAGTAAGGTAACAGAAGTAGTAATTAGAAACCTCTCAACAAAGAAAAGCCTTGGACCAAAGGTTTCACTGGCAAATTCTACCTAATAGTAAAGAACTAACACCAGTTCTTCTCAAACTCTTCCAAAAAATTGAAAAAGAGGGAACACTTCCTAACTTATTCTGGAGGCCAGCACTGCCCTGGTAACAAAGCCAGACAAAAACACTACAAAAGAAAAGAAAACTAAAGAGAAATATGCCTTATGAATATTGATTTAAAAATCCTCAATAAAGTGCTAGCAAACAGAATTCAGCATCATATTAAAAGGATTATACACCATGACCAAATGAGATTTATCCCTGGAATGCCAGAATGGTTCAACATATGAACATCAATTAACGCATTAGCACAATGAAGGGATAAAACCACATGATCATCTCAAGTGATGCAGAAAAAGCATGACAATATTCAACACCTTTTTATGAGAAAAACACTCAGCAAACTGGGAACAGAACGAAACTACCCCAATGTAATAAAGGCCATATAAGAAAAGTCCACAGCTAACATCATAGTCAATGGTAAACGACTGAAATCTTTTCCTCTAAGTTCAAGAACAAGACAAGCATGCCCACTTTCACCACTTCTATTCAACATAGCATTGGAACTTTTAGCCAGAGCAATTAGGCAAGAAAAAGAAATAAAAGTATACAAGTTTGAAAGGAAGAAGTGAAATTATCTCAGTTGCAGATAACATGATCTTATATGTAGAAAACCCTAAAGATTCCAGAAAAAAAAACTGTTAGAATAAACAAATTCAGCAAAGTAGCAGGATAAAAAATCAACACACAAAAATCAGTTGTTTTTATACCCTAACAATGACCAATCCAAAACAGAAATAGAAATAGAAAAAAGGATTTCATTTATGAAAGCATTAAAAAGAATACTTAAGAATTAACTCAAAGAAGGAGGTCAAAGACTTGTACATTGAAAACTACAAAAATTTTAGAAAGAAAGTAGACATTGATAAATGTCACGTGTTCATGGATTGTAAGGCTTAATATTAAGATGGCAATACTGCCTAAAGCAATCTACAGATTCAATGCAATCTCTATCAAAATCCCCATGATGTTTTTTTTTCAGAAATAGAAAAATCCATTCTAAAATTCCTATGAAATCTCAAAGGACCCTGAAAAGCCAAAATAATCTTTAAGAAGAACTAAGTTGGAGGACTCACACTTCCTGATTTCAAAACTTATTACAAAGTTACAATAATTTAAACAGCATGATACTGGCAGAAAGATGGACATATCGACCAATAATAGAAAGTCCTGAAATAAACCTGCACATATATGGTCAAATGGTTTTTGACAAGGTGCCAAAACCATTCAATGAGGAAAAGACAGTCTTTCAACAAATGGTGCTGGGAAAACAGGATATCCACATGCAAAAAAAAAATGAGGTTGAACCCTTACCTAACATCATACACAAAAATTAACTCAAAATGGATCCATGACTTAAATGTAAAACATAAAACTGTTAGAAGAAAACCTAGGGCAAAATCGTCATGACACTGGATTTTGCAATGATTTCTAGGATAGGACACCAAAAAAGCAAAGGCAACAAAGGGGAAAATACACAAATTGGACTTCATCAAAATCAAAAGCTTTTGTGCATCACAGGACACTACCAGCAGAATAAAAAGGCAACCTACAGGATGGGAGAAAATATTTGCCAATCTTACGTCTGCTAAAAGGTTAATATCCAGAATACATAAAGAACTTCTACAACTCAACACTAAAAAACAAATAACCCAATTCAAAAATGGGCAGAGGACTTGAATAGACATTTCTCCATAGAAGATAA